TGTAAATGCTGGAAAGCAAAACAATGAAATAACGAAATGGTAAATATTTACTTTAATTGCAGTGTGTTGACTTTCATAACAATATACTTCATAATGCAAAACACTAGTTACAGTGAGTAATTTAAATATACGACTCTAATCGAAAAATATGACCACAGTCCAGAATTTCAGACGGATATTAAGCAACCTAAGAGCATATCTGAAGCATTTACTCTAAAATTTAAAAAAGAACTGCAGTCATAAGTCAAGAATGCCAGCAAATAAAGGACTCTGTCCCACAATCCTTTGTGCGCGTTATTACGGACACGCGCAAAAAACTGTACCACGCTTGTCAAATCTGGGTCAAATATACAGTACGTGTTCTGGGGTCAAACTGCGTCTATTATACCCATACTAGTGTCAACCATGCTCAAATAATCATTCCTCCAGTGCATCGGTTTAGGTCAGATTTATTTAAAACACGTGGCTTCTATAACATAAAAGCAATACAGACGCTGTGAAAGTAACTGTGAAACTATTTGTAACCATGAGGTAACGATCTCACTTCATGAATGACTTTAGAAATATCACACATTTCCAGTAACACAATGTAACAAACAGGTCTTAAATAAACGTTCAAAAGATTGTAGACTTACATCGTTGGGTCTCTAAAGCAGTATTTCGGTTGAAATGTTCGGTAGATGCTGCGTAGAAATGTGCTCGTAGCTTTTCATCATGGCTGCCTATTATAAACAAGCGTTTTAGCGCGATTCGAACATGACCTGTGATGGCGCACTCTACATGCTTAGGTGGTGCTATTAGCAGCCTTTCTGTTTTGACGAATCACGAAATAAAGATAACAATTGAAATTCTAAATAAACTTGTGTACAGCACACTCCCCGTCTAAAATGCACGGTAGAGCGTGATTTTACTAACATATTTACTAACTACTAACAAGTCTTAAATGTCCATCTTGTTGTTTCTCTGAATTAAAACAAGTTCACTAATCGGCCTTTGGTAGACACGTCTGGTGTTATCACGACAGACCATCACGTCAGCTTTCCTCACTAGGTTGTCGTCACTGGGGTACACCTTGATTATGCGAGCTAGTGGCCAGTTGTTTCGACAGTGTTCTTTGTCACGTAGCAGAACAATGTCACCTTCCTTGATGTTTAGGGTTGTTTCATTCCATTTGCGCCTTGTTTGACGGATCTGCAGAAATTCTTTCCGCCACCGAATCCAAAACTGATCGGCTAGATATTGTGTACGTCGCCACTGCTTTCTACTGTAGAGGTCTTGTTGTACAAAATCTCCTGGGGGTGGGGGCAGCGAGTGTGGTTTCATGGTCAGGATCATATCTGGACTAAGTGCTTGTGGATCATTGGCATCAGACGGTATGGTGGTTATAGGCTTCGCATTGACCACAGCACATACTTCCGCCATGAGGGTCGTGAGAGTGTCATGTGTGAACTGTGGTCTTCCAAGCTGTACGTGCATGGATTCTAGAATACGTCTCACTGTGCCTCCAAAATGTGAAGCATGGGGTGGGTTCAGAATCCATTCACATTTGTGGTATGTAAGGAACTTCTGTATCTGCTTCTGGTTAAGTTCCTTGATGGCGGCATTGAGCTCATTCTTTGCACCTATGAAATTCGTGCCTTGATCACAACGCAGTCTTTTAACAGGACCACGGATGGCCATGAAACGACGAAGAGCGTTTATGAATGCAGAAGTGTCCATTGAATCAATTATTTCTATGTGTATTGCTGTTGTGTATAGACAAACAAAGATAACTGCCCATCGTTTAACTCCTGATGCTCCGCCTCTGGTCCTCCTAGATACTATGTTCCACGGACCAATGACGTCCATACCGACGTTAGTGAAAGGTGGGGTGTTAGCCATTCCGTCTGCAGGTAGGTCTGCCATTACTTGAGTCAACGGTTTTGCTCGTAATATTCTACATGTTGTGCATTTATGTAATATGCTGCGTACTAGGTTGTACAAACCAAGTATCCAGTAGCCTTTGGCTCTTACTGCAGCCAGTGTGAGATGTCGGCCTTGGTGTTGTGTTTCTTGGTGCACATGTTCTACGATGAGTTGTGAGATGTGATTGTTCTTTGGCAATACTATTGGATGGCAACTGGATAGTTCGAGATCTGCTCTGCGAATTCTTCCACCAACACGGAGTAGTTGATCTTCATCCATAAATGTATTCAGTCGATAGAGAGGGCTATCTTTTCTCAACTCATTACCACCAGTGTCTGTTGGCGATAATTTTTTGAGTTCCTTGGGAAAAGCGTCCTTTTGTACTGTGCGAAGTATATGATTCTCTGCACGTTCCAGGATCTTGGGTGTAAGTCTTACATCGGTAACTTCTTTACAATTAGTCTTGTAGGACTGTATCTTCAGTATAAGGTTTGCTACTGCTCGTCTGAGGGAGGTCCATGACGAGAACCTTAGAAACCTTTTAGAGCCTAGGTGGCCAGACGGGTTATCTGGACTTGGTTTGCGTTTTTTGATGTCTGTTGCAAACACGCAAGATTTGTTGCGCACTTCAGGATCTTCATCACTGATGTCATAAGTCTGTTGACCGTTGTTTGTTTCCGGTGTGTGATCTGGCTGCCAGAGAAGTTGTGGGCCTTTGAGCCACATGGTGTTACTAAGTTGATGGGCTGGGACTGAGCGTGTCGCTAGGTCAGCCGGGTTCTGGCTTCTGGGTATATGACACCACTGGTCTGGTGAGGACGAGTTGCATATACATGGAATCGCTTAGCTTCATTATTCAGGTATCCCAGGATTATTGTGCTGTTCGTGTAGTAGACTGTACAGTCTGTGGGACTTCTGATTTCTGCCTTTATCTTGCCTGCTAACTGAGTGGCTAGTACAGCTGCACACAGTTCTAGACGAGGTATGGATACTGCATTGGTTGGGTTCACTTTTGCCTTTCCTAGGAGGAATGCTACATTTACCTCATCTTTATCATTTATTTGTCTCAGGTATGCAACTGCTCCAATAGCTACGTCACTGGCATCACAAAAGATGTGATATTCCCTTCTCTTTACTGGCCCAAATGCATGAGGGGTGTAACAGCGAGGTATATGAACATTCTCAAGGTGGACCAGACTGTCTCGCCAGCATTTCCACCGTGGTAGGTATTCTTCTGGTAGTGGGTCATCCCATCCTACATGCGTGTCTTCCTTTACTTTAGAAGTTTCTGCTATTAGACCACGTAGAATCTGCTTACCCTCTATTGTGACTGGAGCCAATATGCCTAAGGGATCGTAAATGGAGTTCACAATAGCTAGAACTCCCCGCTGTGAAAATGGCTTCTCTTGAAAGTTAACTTTGTACGTGAAAGTGTCCAAGTGTAGGGACCACTGGATACCTAAGGATCTCTGTGTGGGTAGCATATCTTGGTTAAGATCCAGGCATTGCAGATCTTTGGCGTGTATATCACTGGGTACAGAGTTCATGACTTCTTTGTTGTTAGAGACAATTTTGTGGAAGTTTATATTCCTAGTAGACAACATCTCTCGTGTTCTCCTGATGAGACTGACAGCTGCTTCTGCGTCTGGCTGAGAGGTAAGTCCGTCATCTACATAGAAGTCTGAATATACAAATTCTCGAACATCTTCTCCATATGTTGTGTAATTCTCTTCTGCTATCATTCTTAGACCGTATGTTGCAATGGCTGGTGACGAAACATTCCCAAACAGATGAACATTCATCCGGTACTGAATCACAGGTTTCTCTGGATTGTTTTCTTGGAACCAAAAGAAGCGTAGATAGTTCCTGTGTTCCTCATTCACATGGAAACTATGAAACATCTGTTCTAAATCACCCATAACTGCTATAGGGTGACATCTAAACCTCAGCAAGACACCAATGAGACTGTTCATCTGGTCTGGCCCTTGAAGCAATGCATTGTTCAGGGAAGTTCCATTACACCTTGCACTGGAGTCAAACACTACTCTGATCTGTGCTTTCCTTGGGTGGTATACCCCAAAGTGAGGTAAATACCAAGCGTTGTCAGAAGCTAATTCTGAATCAGGAACAGGACTGGCGTGTTGACGTTCTATTACCTTCTCCATGAATTGTAGGTATTGTTCCATCATCTCTGGTTTTCGTTCTAGCTGCTTCAAAAGATTTTTGAAGCGACTCATTGTTGTCTGGTAGTTGTTTGGTAGTCGCCTTGGGTTGTATCTAAATGGTAGGGGTAGTTCTAAATTTCCCTTCCTGTTGATGTGGGTACCATTTTGCATGATGTGCAAGAAGCGCTTGTCTTCTATAGAGTGGGCTTTCTTCTCATCATCTGGTGATTCTCGAAATACATCTTCTCCACTGGCTGTGTCAGGTGCTATATTTTCACTGATACGAATGTGATTGTCACATTTAAGTGGGTTCTGTATAGTTGTCCAGCCTACTGGGTTATGGTTGTTGAGACTTGTTTTTGTGCGACGAACAGATGCTCTAACTATTTCAAAGCACAGGTCGCCAGATACTGTCCACCCTAGGTCGGTACGTTGAGCCCAAGGTGCACTGACTGGTCCATTCCTGGATTCTCTAATTTTTAGGGGCTCTGGGCAGTTTCTCCCTATCAGGAGATGTATCCCAATGTCATCCTGTATCTCTGGGATTTTGTCTGCTATTGGTCTGAGATGAGTAAATGATCTGCATATTTCAGGTGTTGGTATTTCGTTCTTGTCGCAGGGTATACTGTTGTTCTCTAGTACAACTGGGAGGGTGAATTTCTTCTTACCATCAGTAGCCTCGATGATAATGTGATTTCCTCGCCTACCTCTTTTATTTTCCCCTTGGCTGCTGCATGTGGTGAGTTCGTATTCCAGTTCTGGACCTTGTATTTTTAGTGCATCGAACAGGTATGTGTCTCCCATGCAGGCATTGGACTGGTCATCCAAGACAACATACGTTTCTATGATGTTCACTGGATTTTGTTGCATGTAGACTTTTGCAGGAACTATCTTACCACATGAGCGTGCACCTGGACACTTGTTGAGCTTAGTACACTTTGATGTGGCCTCCTGACTTGTTTCATACTTTGGTGTTTCTGTTTTCTGTTCTTTTGGTCTGGTTATCACACCAGGTGTGGTGTGTAGACATGAGACATGTTTGATACTGTTGCAGACTGAGCACTTCACATCAGTGTCGCAGTCTCTGGCCAGGTGTTTGCATGTGCATTTGAAGCACAGCCCTTTATTCTTACAAAGTTCTATTCTGTCTGCTATTGGAAGCTTTGTAAATGCCTTGCATTCTGTCAGGCCATGCTTAGATGTCTCATGGTAATCACACCGCTTCTCGGTGTCCAGCATTTTCGTAGCGCGGACTCTAGCACTGCTTTTGGCTTGTTGGTTCGATCTAGCCTTGTCAGATGTAGCGATTGAGTTAGCAAACCTCGGTATATCTGGGTCATTCTGTGTCCTAGCTGTATTTCTAAGAAATTCTGCAAAGAAACAGAATGGTGGGAATTTCCCATTGCTTTGCTTGTAACAGGATACCTTCTCTCTCCATTTGTTCAGGATGAATGCTGGTAGTTTTTCAACTATGGGATTCAGAACATGTGGTGTGTTCAATGTGCTGAGATCAGCAAGTTCTTCCATGTGTGCCAGTGTGTCGGTACACAGATCAGCCAAATCTAGGAGCTTCTGGTTGTCATCTGGACGGAATTGGGGAAATGAAATCAGCTTCTTTATGATAACAGATGTGATCACTGCTGGGTTTCCAAACCTGTTTTCTAATTCTTTCCATGTCTCCTGGTAGGTAGTTTCGACATTCTTTACGAACCGCAGTCTAAATCTGTCAACTAAGATCTTAGGTTCTCCTTTGGTGTATTTACTGAGAAAAGACAATTTCTCAGTTGTTGGCACACACGCTGTCTGGACCATAGATTCAAAGGTTCTGCGCCACGGCAGAAACATGATAGGATCACCACCATATACTTCAGGTTCTTGAACTGGTAGGCGTTGACGAGCCAATATTTTGATGTATTCACTGGGAAGATGTGAGGATTCTGCATTTTCGCCTGCTGGTCTGAATTGCTGTTGTGATGTGTTATTCTGTACCATACTTGCATCCCCTGGCTGTTTTGTAGTTTGGAGTGGGGAAATTGTATCATACCCAGTAAGTGTAGTTGGTGGTGGAGGTCTTGGTTGTTCTAGGAAATAGGGTGAAGCTTGTGGTTTGAGGTTATGTTCGTTACGCGTACGAAAACGTAAGGCGTGATCATTAGACGTTTCCTGAGGTAATGTGAACATCTGTTGTGTTGCACCTTCTTCCACTACTTTCTGAAATGTTTCTGCACTTGCCTGTGTGACTGCTGCCTTTTTCTTTGCTTCTAGTATTTTCAAATTGGCTTTGAAACTGGCTTCCATTGCTGCTTGCTCTGCTTGCTGTTTGGCTATGGTTATTTCATACTCAGCCTCTTCTGCTGCTGCTGCTGCATCGGCAATTGCTTGTGCATGGGCGGTGCTTAACCTTGACGATGCCCTTGACATGACTGAACCCGATACTGAGAGTGCGTGTTGAGGTTCAGGTTTAATTCTTGGAGTTCTCTGCCTTGCCAGTAAGTCTGTTATTTCCATTTCAACAAGTTGTTTATTTCTATGGAAACATGATTCTGTATAAGCTGCGTCATTGCGCGTTTCTTCTGAATGGTCTTGGTCATAAAGATTCATCACATCTACGTATGTACATTCATACTGGTGGGTAAGGGTACCTAGTTCATTCGTAATTAACGTGGGCTCACTCCGTGTGGTTGGAATACTCAACATGAGCTTATTTATTCGGTTCCAGATTGCTAACATGCTTTTTTCTGCATCACTGATGCCATTTGCTAGTGCTTTAGGTGTTAGCTTTCTTTAGCACCTCATCTCCGTGTTCACTGACAGATTCATCTTTCCGCTCATTTTTGTTATGTTGTTCATCATACTGTTCAGAATACACTGGAGTTTTATTGTCACCATATTCTGTCATATCTATTCCATCGAGTTGGATTTTACTATTTTCTGCCATTTCTATTCATAGGAGTTCATTAACAATGTTCTATGGGTTAATAACGGTATACACAAGTGACATCTGAGTTTACCACTAACCTGCCTGATAATGTATGTATGGTATTACATACAGATTGTTTGTTCACACTGGTGTACTTATACAGTACAAATGTTCAGCCTAGCGTATCATGTAGAGGTCACGCTAAACATTAGTATCCGTTGTGTTTACTGCCGCTGTACACTGAAGACATCAATAGATTTACTGCAGTATGGATTCCGATAATTCACTGTTCTAGGGTCAAACTGCGTCTATTATACCCATACTAGTGTCAACCATGCTCAAATAATCATCCCTCCAGTGCATCGGTTTAGGTCGGATTTATTTAAAACACGGTGAATTCTATAACATAAAAGCAATACAGACGCTGTGAAAGTAACTGTGAAACTATTTGTAACCATGAGTTAACGATCTCACTTCATGAATGACTTTAGAAATATCACACATTTCCAGTAACACAATGTAACAAACAGGTCTTAAATAAGCGTTCAAAAGATTGTAGACTTACATCGTTGGGTCTCTAAAGCAGTATTTCGGTTGAAATGTTCGGTAGACGCTGCGTAGAAATGTGCTCGTAGCTTTTCATCATGGCTGCCTATTATAAACAAGCGTTTTAGCGCGATTCGAACATGACCTGTGATGGCGCACTCTACATGCGTAGGTGGTGCTATTAGCAGCCTTTCTGTTTTGACGAATCACGAAATAAAGATAACAATTGAAATTCTAAATAAACTTGTGTACAGCACACTCCCCGTCTAAAATGCACGGTAGAGCGTGATTTTACTAACTAACATATTTACTAACTACTAACAAGTCTTAAATGTCCATCTTGTTGTTTCTCTGAATTAAAACAAGTTCACTAATCGGCCTTTGGTAAACACGTCTGGTGTTATCACGACAGACCATCATGTCAGCTTTCCTCACTAGGTTGTCGTCACTGGGGTAGACCTTGATTATGCGAGCTAGTGGCCAGTTGTTTCGACAGTGTTCTTTGTCACGTAGCAGAACAATGTCACCTTCCTTGATGTTTAGGGTTGTTTCATTTCATTTGCGCCTTGTTTGACGGATCTGCAGAAATTCTTTCCGCCACCGAATCCAAAACTGATCGGCTAGATATTGTGTACGTCGCCACTGCTTTCTACTGTAGAGGTCTTGTTGTACAAAATCTCCTGGGGGTGGGGGCGAGTGTGGTTTCATGGTCAGGATCATATCTGGACTAAGTGCTTGTGGACCATTGGCGTCAGACGGTATGGTGGTTATAGGCTTCGCATTGACCACAGCACATACTTCCGCCATGAGGGTTGTGAGAGTGTCATGTGTGAACTGTGGTCTTCCAAGCTGTACGTGCATGGATTCTAGAATACGTCTCACTGTGCCGATCTGCCGCTCCCAGATGCCTCCAGAATGTGAAGCATGGGGTGGGTTTAGAATCCATTCACATTTGTGGTATGTAAGGAACTTCTGTATCTGCTTCTGGTTAAGTTCCTTGATGGCGTCATTGAGCTCATTCTTTGCACCTATGAAATTCGTGCCTTGATCACAACGCAGCCTCTTAACAGGACCACGGATGGCCATGAAACGACGAAGAGCGTTTATGAATGCAGAAGTGTCCATTGAATCAATTATTTCTATGTGTATTGCTGTCGTGTATAGACAAAGATAACTGCCCATCGTTTAACTCCTGATGCTCCGCCTCTGGTCCTCCTAGATACTATGTTCCACGGACCAAAGACGTCCATACCGACGTTAGTGAAAGGTGGGGTGTTAGCCATTCTGTCTGCAGGTAGGTCTGCCATTACTTGAGTCAACGGTTTTGCTCGTAATCTTCTACATGTTGTGCATTTATGTAATATGCTGCGTACTAGGTTGTGCAAACCAAGTATCCAGTAGCCTTTGGCTCTTACTGCAGCCAGTGTGAGATGTCGGCCTTGGTGTTGTGTTTCTTGGTGCACATGTTCTACGATGAGTTGTGAGATGTGATTGTTCTTCGGCAATACTATTGGATGGCAACTGGATAGTTTGAGATCTGCTCTGCGAATTCTTCCACCAACACGGAGTAGTTGATCTTCATCCATAAATGTATTCAGTCGATAGAGAGGGCTATCTTTTCTCAACTCATTACCACCAGTGTCTGTTGGCGATAATTTTTTGAGTTCCTTGGGAAAAGCGTCCTTTTGTACTGTGCGAAGTATATGATTCTCTGCACGTTCCAGGATCTTGGGTGTAAGTCTTACGTCGGTAACTTCTTTACAATTAGTCTTGTAGGACTGTATCTTCAGTATAAGGTTTGCTACTGCTCGTCTGAGGGAGGTACATGATGAGAACCTTAGAAACCTTTTAGAGCCTAGGTGGCCAGACGGGTTATCTGGACTTGGTTTGCGTTTTTTGATGTCTGTTGCAAACACGCAAGATTTTTTGTGCACTTCAGGATCTTCATCACTGATGTCATAAGTCTGTTGACCGTTGTTTGTTTCAGGTGTGTGATCTGGCTGCCAGAGAAGTTGTGGGCCTTTGAGCCACATGGTGTTACTAAGTTGATGGGCTGGGACTGAGCGTGTCGCTAGGTCAGCCGGGTTCTGGCTTGTGGGTATATGACACCACTGGTCTGGTGAGGACGAGTTGTGGATTTTCTGAATGCGGTTAGCCACATATACATGGAATCGCTTAGCTTCATTATTCAGGTATCCCAGGACTATTGTGCTGTCCGTGTAGTAGACTGTACAGTTTGTGGGACTTCTGATTTCTGCCTTTATCTTGCCTGCTAACTGAGTGGCTAATACAGCTGCACACAGTTCTAGACGAGGTATGGATACTGCATTGGTTGGGTTCACTTTTGCCTTTCCTAGGAGGAATGCTACATTTACCTCATCTTTATCATTTATTTGTCTCAGGTATGCAACTGCTCCAATAGCTACGTCACTGGCATCACAAAAGATGTGATATTCCCTTCTCTTTACTGGCCCAAATGCATGAGGGGTGTAACAGCGAGGTATATGAACATTCTCAAGGTGGACCAGACTGTCTCGCCAGCATTTCCACCGTGGTAGGTATTCTTCTGGTAGTGGGTCATCCCATCCTACATGCGTGTCTTCCTTTACTTTAGAAGTTTCTGCTATTAGACCACGTAGAATCCGCTTACCCTCTATTGTGACTGGAGCCAATATGCCTAAGGGATCGTAAATGGAGTTCACGATAGCTAGAACTCCCCGCCGTGAAAATGGCTTCTCTTGAAAGTTAACTTTATACGTGAAAGTGTCCAAGTGTAGGGACCACTGGATACCTAAGGATCTCTGTGTGGGTAGCATGTCTTGGTTAAGATCCAGGCATTGCAGATCTTTGGCGTGTATATCACTGGGTACAGAGTTCATGACTTCTTTGTTGTTAGGGACAATTTTGTGGAAGTTTATATTCCTAGTAGACAACATCTCTCGTGTTCTCCTGATGAGACTGACAGCTGCTTCTGCATCTGGCTGAGAGGTAAGTCCGTCGTCTACATAGAAGTCTGAATACAAATTCACGAACATCTTCTCCATATGTTGTATAATTCTCTTCTGCTATCATTCTTAGACCGTATGTTGCAATGGCTGGTGACGAAACATTCCCAAACAGATGAACATTCATCCGGTACTGAATCACAGGTTTCTCTGGATTGTTTTCTTGGAACCAAAAGAAGCGTAGATAGTTCCTGTGTTCCTCATTCACATGGAAACTATGAAACATCTGTTCTATATCACCCATAACTGCTATAGGGTGACATCTAAACCTCAGCAAGACACCAATGAGACTGTTCATCTGGTCTGGCCCTTGAAGCAATGCATCGTTCAGGGAGGTTCCATTACACCTTGCACTGGAGTCAAACACTACTCTGATCTGTGCTTTCCTTGGGTGGTATACCCCAAAGTGAGGTAAATACCAAGCGTTGTCAGAAGCTAATTCTGAATCAGGAACAGGACTGGCGTGTTGACGTTCTATTACCTTCTCCATGAATTGTAGGTATTGTTCCATCATCTCTGGTTTTCGTTCTAGCTGCTTCAAAAGATTTTTGAAGCGACTCATTGTTGTCTGGTAGTTGTTTGGTAGTCGCCTTGGGTTGTATCTAAATGGTAGGGGTAGTTCTAAATTTCCCTTCCTGTTGATGTGGGTACCATTTTGCATGATGTGCAAGAAGCGCTTGTCTTCTATAGAGTGGGCTTTCTTCTCATCATCTGGTGTTTCTCGAAATACATCTTCTCCACTGGCTGTGTCAGGTGCTATATTTTCACTGATACGAATGTGATTGTCACATTTAAGTGGGTTCTGTATAGTTGTCCAGCCTACTGGGTTATGGTTGTTGAGACTTATTTTTGTGCGACGAACAGATGCTCTAACTGTACCTCTAACTGTTTCAAAGCACAGGTCGCCAGATACTGTCCACCCTAGGTCGGTACATTGAGCCCAAGGTGCACTGACTGGTCCATTCCTGGATTCTCTAATTTGTAGGGGCTCTGGGCAGTTTCTCCCTATCAGGAGATGTATCCCAATGTCATCCTGTATCTCTGGGATTTTGGCTGCTATTGGTCTGAGATGAGTAAATGATCTGCATATTTCAGGTGTTGGTATTTCGTTCTTGTCGCAGGGTATACTGTTGTTCTCTAGTACAACTGGGAGGGTGAATTTCTTCTTACCATCAGTAGCCTCGATGATAATGTGATTTCCTCGCCTACCTCTTCTATTTTCCCCTTGGCTGCTGCATGTGGTGAGTTCGTATTCCAGTTCTGGACCTTGTATTTTTAGTGCATCGAACAGGTATGTGTCTCCCATGCAGGCATTGGACTGGTCATCCAAGACAACATACGTTTCTATTATGTTCACTGGATTGTGTTGCATGTAGACTTTTGCAGGAACTATCTTACCACATGAGCGTGCACCTGGACACTTGTTGAGCTTAGTACACTTTGATGTGGCCTCCTGACTTGTTACATTCTTTGGTGTTTCTGTTTTCTGTTCTTTTGGTCTGGTTGTGGACATGAGACATGTTTAGAACTGTTGCAGACTGAGCACTTCACATCAGTGTCGCAGTCTCTGGCCAAGTGTTTGCGTGTGCATTTGAAGCACAGCCCTTTATTCTTACAAAGTTCTATTCTGTCTGCTATTGGAAGCTTTGTAAATGCCTTGCATTCTGTCAGGCCATGCTTAGATGTCTCATGGTAATCACACCGCTTCTCGGTGTTCAGCATTTTCGTAGCGCGGACTCTAGCACTGCTTTTGGCTTGTTGGTTCGATCTAGCCTTGTCAGATGTAGCGATTGAGTTAGCAAACCCCGGTATATCTGGGTCATTCTGTGTCCTAGCTGTATTTCTGAGAAATTCTGCAAAGAAACAGAATGGTGGGAATTTCCCATTGCTTTGCTTGTAACAGGATACCTTCTCTCTCCATTTGTTCAGGATGAGTGCTGGTAGTTTTTCAACTATGGGATTCAGAACATGTGGTGTGTTCAATGTGCTGAGATCAGCAAGTTCTTCCATGTGTGCCAGTGTGTCGGTACACAGATCAGCTAAATCTAGGAGCTTCTGGTTGTCATCTGGACGGAATTGGGGAAATGAAATCAGCTTCTTTATGATAACAGCTGTGATCACTGCTGGGTTTCCAAACCTGTTTTCTAATTCTTTCCATGCCTCCTGGTAGGCAGTTTCGACATTCTTTACGAACCGCAGTCTAAATCTGTCAACTAAGATCTTAGGTTCTCCTTTGGTGTATTTACTGAGAAAAGACAATTTCTCAGTTGTTGGCACACACGCTGTCTGGACCATAGATTCAAAGGTTCTGCGCCACGGCAGAAACATGATAGGATCACCACCATATACTTCAGGTTCTTGAACTGATAGGCGTTGACGAGCCAATATTTTGATGTATTCACTGGGAAGATGTGAGGATTCTGCATTTTCACCTGCTGGTCTGAATTGCTGTTGTGATGTGTTATTCTGTACCATACTTGCATCCCCTGGCTGTTTTGTAGTTTGGAGTGGGGAAATTGTATCATACCCAGTAAGTGTAGTTGGTGGTGGAGGGCTTGGTTGTTCTAGGAAATAGGGTGAAGCTTGTGGGTTGAGGTTATGTTCGTTACGCGTACGAAAACGTAAGGCGTGATCATTAGACGTTTCCTGAGGTAATGTGAACATCTGTTGTGTTGCACCTTCTTCCACTACTTTCTGAAATGCTTCTGCACTTGCCTGTGTGACTGCTGCCTTTTTCTTTGCTTCTAGTATTTTCAAATTGGCTTTGAAACTGGCTTCCATTGCTGCTTGCTCTGCTTGCTGTTTGGCTATGGTTATTTCATACTCAGCCTCTTCTGCTGCTGCCGCTGCATCGGCAATTGCTTGTGCGTGGGCGGTGCTTAACCTTGACGATGCCCTTGACATGACTGAACCCGATACTGAGAGTGCGTGTTGAGGTTCAGGTTTAATTCTTGGAGTTCTCTGCCTTGCCAGTAAGTCTGTTATTTCCATTTCAACAAGTTGTTTATTTCTACGGAAACGTGATTCTGTATACGCTGCGTCATTGCGCGTTTCTTCTGAATGGTCTTGGTCATAAAGATTCATCACATCTACGTATGTACATTCATACTGGTGGGTAAGGGTACCTAGTTCATTCGTAATTAACGTGGGCTCACTTTGTGTGGTTGGAATACTCAACATGAGCTTATTTATTCGGTTCCAGATTGCTAACATGCTTTTTTCTGCATCACTGATGGCATTTGCTAGTGCTTTCGGTGTCAGCTTTCTTTGGCGTTGAGGGCGCACCTCATCTCCGTGTTCACTGACAGATTCATCTTTCTGCTCATTTTTGTTATGTTGTTCATCATACTGTTCAGAATACACTGGAGTTTTATTGTCACCATATTCTGTCATATCTATTCCATCGAGTTGGATTCTACTATTTTCTGCCATTTCTATTCATAGAAGTTCATTAACAATGTTCTATGGGTTAATAACGGTATACACAAGTGACATCTGAGTTTACCACTAACCTGCCTGATAATGTATGTATGGTATTACATACAGATGGTTTCTGTTCACACTGGTGTACTTATACAGTACAAATGTTCAGCCTAGCGTATCATGTAGAGGTCACGCTAAACATCAGTATCCATTGTGTTTACTGCTGCTGTACACTGAAGACATCAAATCAATAGATTTACTGCAGTATGGATTCCGATAATTCACTGTTCTGGGGTCAAACTGCGTCTATTATACCCATACTAGTGTCAACCATGCTCAAATAATCATTCCTCCAGTGCATCGGTTTAGGTCAGATTTATTTAAAACACGTGGCTTCTATAACATAAAAGCAATACAGACGCTGTGAAAGTAACTGTGAAACTATTTGTAACCATGAGGTAACGATCTCACTTCATGAATGACTTTAGAAATATCACACATTTCCAGTAACACAATGTAACAAACAGGTCTTAAATAAACGTTCAAAAGATTGTAGACTTACATCGTTGGGTCTCTAAAGCAGTATTTCGGTTGAAATGTTCGGTAGACGCTGCGTAGAAATGTGCTCGTAGCTTTTCATCATGGCTGCCTATTATAAACAAGCGTTTTAGCGCGATTCGAACATGACCTGTGATGGCGCACTCTACATGCGTAGGTGGTGCTATTAGCAGCCTTTCTGTTTTGACGAATCACGAAATAAAGATAACAATTGAAATTCTAAATAAACTTGTGTACAGCACAGTACGCTACTATCTTGCCACAGATTGTTTAGTAGTGGAGTGTTCGGTGACCATTGAATTAGCCCGTGATTCATATTTTATGTGTATTAATTTATTCAGCAATTTTCGTAACTGACAGTACTGCCCACATTTTAGTCAAAAAAACGCAACCGGTGAAACGGAAGAGCATCGCCAGGCGATGGATGAATGCGGGCTCTTTGGCAATGACCGCATAGAGGTCAAAATACGCGTTAAATTTGGCTCTTCCGTTTCGCCCCCTCCGGAATGTTCTTCGCAGCCTAAT